ATACTCATGTTTAAAACGACTCAGGTGAAAGTAAAAGTACTGACTACACGTTTGTACTTAAGTAAAAGTAAAGAAGTACGGCCTCGAAAATGTACAAAAGTAAAAAGTACTCACTTCAACCACAGTCCAAAGACATGCGGTATAGGGGGATAATAGGTAACGCAATTGGCAGTAGTGTATAAGTGTGTGTGTGTGTGTGTGTGTGTATGGGTGTTTCCCAGTACTGGGTTGCAGCTAGAAGGGTATCTGCTGTTTAAAACCTATGCTGGAATAATTGGAAATTCATTCTGCTGTGGCGACCCCTGATAAATCAGGGACGAAGCTGAAGGATAGTGAGTGAGGATAGGCAGGTAACTAGTCCTCACATCCTACTGATACATTAAATTAAAATAACTTACATTTCTATTTTTTTCCAAAAATGTTTGTTGCTAAATTTATGAAAGTAGCCAAGCAGCATCAAACTCTGCAATAAAGCAATATAACAACCTTGCTTGAAAAGGCGACCATGTATCATCATCCTGACACTAACTCACAGCATTTAGCATGTGTTTTTTGGCTGCCTGAATTCTGTCCAAAATATATTCAATTTCTTTTCTTTTGTTAAAATAATTTCTTATTAAATTTGACAGCAAAGTGCGAACTTTTTTGTTGTTGCATTAGGCTAAAGCAGCTCATTTCTTCAAAGAGCAGCTCTTATACATAACCTATACACTATTTTTAGTGTTTTATTAGGTGTGACTACAACCTACCAAACATGTGTATGATCTTTTTTTCATGTGATAAATTCAGGATCTTTTGCATTATTATTTTTTTTATCATAAATTGCGCAGTAAGGTTACTTTTGTTGTTGTAAAATATTTCTTAAAAATTATTAATTTAAAGGGCACATAGTTTACCCCTTTTTAAAGATTTAATATTAATATTCTGGTTGTTCTGAGTGTGCCAGTTTAGGTTCAGTTCAAGACTCAGTTCAGATGTTTTTATTATAATGTGTTAAAAAGTGTTATGTTGGGCTCGCTGTTTCAGGGGCGTGTTGCTTCACATGAAAATTAGTTTCGGCTTCCTGCCCAACGTAACAAAGGGGCGGAGCTAAGAGCTCCCACGCTCTGTGTTTGCAACAGACAGGTAGACTGTGAGAAGGAGATGAAGTGAGAGGATCAGCATTCAGCCGTACATGTACGACTCAGACACAGACCAAGCAGAGAGTACAAAGTCATTTGTGTCTTTGTATAGTTTTACAGACAACTGTGTGCTAGTTTCAAGTTTAAAGTTTGTTCACCGAGACTAATAACCACACACACTGAATTAACTTTGACTGAGGCACCGGGTGACCCGCTTACGGCTGATTTATACTTCTGCGTCAAACGCACGCAAATGCTACGGCGCTGACGCATAGCCCTACGCCGTGGGCGTTGCTGACGTGCACCTCTCAAAAAATTTAACTACACGTCGCAACGACGCGTAGTACAAGCTCTGTGATTGGTTGGCTTGGTGGCACTGACGAGTCTGGGCGGGACCGAGAGCTCGATGGAGCGATTGTTTACAAGTGTGGAGTCCCGTGAAGGAGTTCCGGATGGAAAGTTTTGTTCTGTGTTTACCTCATAGTTAAAGTTGTTGCACGTCCGCCGGTTCCTGCCTCAAAATGAGCGGGTTTGAGCCATTTGTACATCCCGGAAGTGTTCAGGAAAAGCAAAACAGCAGCGAAGAAACTCATTATGTGGAACATAAATGGAAAAAAAAACTAATTTAGAGGTCTTCAGAATTGGGCATCACTTTAAGGTAACTTATGTCCATGAATCTGGAAAACATATTTTGGTTGTTCAAGTAAATTAATGAACGTTAAACTTCGCCACAACTATATTTGTGCACCAGCTACAGTTGAAGTCAGAATTATTAGCCCCCATTTTACTTATTTAATTTTTTTATATTTCCCAAATGATGTTTAACAGAGCAAAGACATTTTCACAGTATGTTTGATAATATCTTTTCTTCTGTTTTATTTTGGCTAGAATAAAAGCAGTTTTAAATTTTTTAAACACCATTTTTAGGGTAATATTATTAGCCTCTTTAAGCAATATTTGTTTTCCACAGTGTACACAGAACAAACCATCTTTATACAATAACTTACCCTAACCTGCCTAGTTAACCTAATTAACCCAGTTAAGCCTTTAAATGTCACTTTAATCTGTATAGAAGTGTCTTGAAGAATATCTAGTCTAATATTATTTACTGTCATCATGACATAGAGAAAATAAATTAGTTATTAAAGATGAGTTATTAAAACTGTTATGATTAGAAATGTGCTGAAGAAATCTTCTCTCCGTTAAACAGAAATTTGGGAAAAAAAATAAACAGGGGGTGAATAATTCTGACCTCAACTGTGTTTGTATAATATATATATATATATATAATTAAAACAGTACATCTATAAATAGGACATTTAATGATGTGGAAGCGTTTACTTCAAGTGTATTATTTGGCCATGTATCTTTCTTGCCCCCTACTGAACGCATCAGGAATCAGCCTGGATCCAAGTCTACAGACGCCCCCTATAAACTACAAACATGGCGGACTCGCGCGACCAACGCAAGTAGAGAGGCTTTGGTGATGCTGCTATTTGGACTTCCTAGTTGATTAAGATGTTTCTTTGATCGGTAATTTGTTTCTTTCTGTATGTTCTTATAAGATTTAATAAAAAAATAAATAAATAAATAAAAAAAGAGGCTTTGGTAAAGATGTTTGAATACTGGACAATATTTAAGCAACGTTTTCTGCGTTAAATTTGATCAGGAACAACAATATTTTAATAAGGAATAACAATATTTTAGACGTATTTTAATTTCTGAATGCATAATTATCCTGCTGCGAGGATGACGCGGGGAGATGATTGACAGGACTCGTAACTAGGCAACATAACGGTCAGTTAAAGAGGAATAACGGTAGTTTGTCACAAAGCTTGCGTTACACACTCAAAAGTACGGTTTTTAAAGAAAGTTCAGACTCTTAGGACGTCGAATAATAACGTTAGGTCTTACCTTATCTAGAACGCGTCTTTCTCTTACTTCTTTACTGTAATAATTGCCACAATCCACGGTGACAGCTGTTCACAACTCGCGAGAGTCTCAATGACGGCAAATAACGCAGTATTGGATATATCCAGCGAACTAACCAGTTATTTGATACGCCAAGAGGACATTTCTGCGATCATTGACTCAACATGTCTCTTCACACAGTTCTCCTGTCGAGAACGGACAGTGAAATGTCTATTTTCTTAAAAGCTGCACCACAGGTTCAGTACCTCCACCTTTATCTTCCGGAACTTCCGGTCATCCGTCTCGACAACAGGTAAGCTCTCTTTAATTAAACACAGGGGAGAGGGTGATGATTTATGTCAGGAGGGAAGTTGTTCCACCCCTTGTTTCTAGAAAACCATAGAAAAAATTGGTTATGTGACCACATACTTTTGAAGAGCCCTTCATTTACCCATCCGTCCTGCAAAGAAGACACTATGGCAAGCCGCATTGACATTTTATCTATAATCCGCACTAGGATCTATTTTCATGTACAAGTACTTTTTTTTTTAGATACTAGTATCTTTATTCCTTTAAGTACTAGTAGTTATTTATTAAATATAGTGCTTTATAAAAATATACTAGTGCTTACTTACTAGACACTACTTATTTAAGATACTACTACTACTACTACTACTTATTCGTTAGACACTAGTATCTATTTAATAGGTAATACTAATTATATGGCAAGCCGTTTTAACATTTAATCTATAACCGCACTATCTATTTTCTTGTTACTAGTACCTTTTTTTTAGATAATAGTATCTTTTCCATGAAGTACTGGTACTTATTCGTTAGTTACAAGTTCTTGTTCATTAGATACTTGTGCCTATACTTTAGATACTAGTGCTTACTCATTAGACACTATTCTTTTTATTAGATCCTATTAGCGCTCATTTTTAAGATATTAGTATCTATAGATGAATTACTGGTTTGCAAACATGCAGGATACGCACGCAGCGAGGTTGGATCATTCAGGTCTTTCATTGTCAGGCTGTGGTGAATTGTGCCAAAGGGGCTGGGTTAAGTTGGCACAACTCGCCCCGATTTATGATTAATTTCAGCGTATTATTTAATTGTAATTGTATATTGCATTCCTACATTTTACTACTTAAGCTTTGTGACTGTCATTGTGAGCTTTGCTGGTAAAAACAAATCAAATAACTATGATGGACTGATGGAGAAGCTTGATGATGCAAACATCAGCGCAAAGTTTCTAAGGCAAAGCTCTAAGAAGAGGGAAAGCCCATCTTTACATTTAAGGAAAAATTGATGAAGTCGTTTCTAGACGTGATGCGCTCAAACTACCCACAACACAAAAACCTGCTGGTACAGCCAGAGGCGAGCAGAAGTTCTCATTCCCCTGCAGCGTCAACTAGCGTGGTGTAAAGTAGTAGGCCAGATCTAAATTGTTGGTCTTCTTTGGTTCCACTAACCAAAGTATGAAACTGCGCCGAGGACGTCCTGAAGAAAAGGTTGAAGGACAATTCACCAAGAACTAAATTTACCTCATTTACTCAAGTATTTTGAACACAAGTGTAGATATTTTGAAGAATGCTGCTAGCTGGCGCTCATCAACTTTTAGTAGCAAAGAAAATACTATAGATGTCAATGAGTGCCATTTTAAACCATTGTTATGTGAGTAAACCTCAACATTTGGTGGTCAGACATTGAAAAACCCCTACAAATGGCCTGACAATGCTTTAAACATTACATGATAGTTAAATATTGTTATATTAAGGTTAAATTGAGTCTGCAGTTTGTAAAAATATGTTTGATGTGTTGTTTTGTGTTGTGTTCCCACTTATTGTCAGATAAATATACAGATAAAATAGTTCAGGTATGTTTTGAGTGCATTACAGTCCCGTATCACTACGCTGAATGATTTCAGTTATGTTAATGCAAGGAGCCGGTGTGATGAACAAAGAGCAGGAGTCAGAGATACAGTTTATTGAAGACAAAAGTTTACAGTTTGATCAACAGAAAACAGCTTCAACACACTCCATAGGGTTCATAGTCTCAATTTCACAGAAATCATAGGAAGAGCAGCACACATGTGGTCAGTGACAAAATCAAATCATCAGGAATTCATACTTCCATTGTTTTCTGACATGATGTTGTTTTCCGCTTCTGCTTCCCACATTGTGCACTTCCTCCTGCGAGTGTCGCATTCAGAGCTGCATGCAAATAAGGGCCGGCTAAAGCATCCCCATTGGCCCATAAGCTCTAGATTGACAGCTCCTCCTCCAGCCAATCAGGCGAGGAGGGAAACTGACGTCACTCTAATGACGGCCGGTGTGCACAGGCGAGGACAGAGAAGTGTATAATAATTACCAATCGCTCTTAAATAACAATCTGTGCAGTGCTCACAGAACAGTGATGGAGAAGAAGAAAGACAGAAACTAAATAAACCAAACATAAAGCAAAACAATGAATCAATGTTGTTTAAAACAACCCTAAAAACAAAGACCTTACCCTATCCTAACCCTAACAAACACCCTTACCATATCCTAACTCTAACAAACACCCTAACCCTATCCTAACCCTAACAAACACTCTAACCCTATCCTAACTCTAACAAACACCCTAACCATATCCTAACCCTAACAAACACCCTTACCCTATCCTAACCCTAACAAACACCCTTACCCTATCCTAACTCTAACAAACACCCTTACCATATCCTAACCCTAACAAACACCCTAACCCTATCCTAACTCTAACAAACACCCTAACCCTAAAAAATAGATCAAATGTTTAGAGGAAATGGGAAAGCAGAAAAAGAAAGAGGTGAGATTTGGCCTCATTACTGAAAGATTATTATTCCTCTATTTTCTATATGTCTAACCCTAAACCCTAATCCTGACTGATTTATTAACAAACACAATTAACTATCAAACCTTTAACTATGACTAACTTACACCAATATTTACAAACGTTTCATCAATGAGGACCAATGAATTTCTACAAACAAGCACAGGATTTCCACAACATTATCAATAAGCTTAATAATATCAATAAAACATATTACAAAGTCATACTCTAAAATACATTTGTGTCCATAAACACTATCTAAATCCCCCAGTGTTGACTAAAATGCTGTTATTTACCAAACCCTGTATTAAACTACTTGATCTACTTTTAAAACGTTTATGTTAAAGCTAATTCCCAGACATCCAGCGCTCGCTTGTAGAACAAGTGAGAAGAAGAAGAAAGCAGAAAGGTTTGAGCACCAGCACTGGAAATAGTCATCATCAGATCTGAGAAATCCACAGCTGGGGTAAAATATGTCTGTGGCAGGAGGCTCTTATATCTAGCTTATTCGCCCATATAATCCTGCCCCGTCAGCGCCATCTACACCCCCCTATCCTATCTCTGTTAAAGAGAAAAAGCCTTCAAAACCGGCCCACGACGCCCCTGTTATATGCGCTTATCTCACTTAAACCTGCCTAAAGTCCCGTTAGAGCTACGACGACTGTCTAAACTAGGCTTTCTGTCTTTACAAAAGTATTGATGCACTACAGTAATAATATACAGACTTTACCTTTTACTATTAATCCTACAGCTATAGAAATAAAGCACACCCGTATGCTAATAAATCCCCCTTTCCAGCAGTTTCATTTATTAATCTGTGATTATTTCCCTTAATATGACTATTTACTCTACAGTCGGTGCTAACCCAGTTCGTATAAAACACTACGTCCTGTCTAAACGTGAATGAACCTGCTTTCCTTTAGTTATTTCAAACGATTAATGCTGTCCTACCGCAGACAGATTCTACCCCAGCTGAGGATTAGCGCTAACACTCAATCTCCGGCGTCGCCTGTGCGCATCGGCCGCCATTAGACTGACATCAGCTTCCTTCCTCACCTGATCAGCTAAAGGAAGAGCAGTCGGTCTAGAGCTGGTGGACCAATAGGGACGCTTTAACCGGCCCTCATTTACATGCAGCTCTGACTGCAACACTCGCAGGAGGAAGTGCAGAATTTGGGAAGCAGAAGCAAAAAACAGCAAAACAATTTGACGTAAATGGAAGTATGAAAACCTGTTTCCTGCTGCTGATGGGCTCTACGTCATGCTGAACCACTTGTGCTCTATAATCTCCTCTAAAACAGGTCCTGTTCGAGGGTGGAATCTGATTACCCACCAAAGCAGATCCTTGCATTCTGCAGAAATATTAAAGAGAGAACATGTTAGTCATGGATGCTCTTACATACAACACAGACATTTATTCAATGGTCTAGTGAAATTCTTGATTCTGATTGGCTGGAAGTTGTCCAATAAAATAACAGATTTCAGTCAGTTATAAGCACAGTTCCAGATGAATGCGCCACACTCAAACATTAGCAGTAACCAACTCGGTGACCATTGCTAAAGCTTTCATTGGACGTGTGCTTCATCTGGAGCCAATGGGGATCAACCAACTCGCAAATACGCTCAGAAGCAGACGAGATGATGTAGCTAACACATATTGTGCTGCAATACTACTTTAATTTGGAAAATGACCATGTAATAAGTGTGATTATCATTGGATTACCGTGCGCTTTTGCATCTGCATTTAAAATCCTTTAACATGCGGCAATCTACTGACTATATAGCACTTGTATGAAAATTGCTTTCTTAATTGTGCATTTATTTGTTTTTAAAATAATGTTATTTATGAATTTTATAGAAAATTATAGTAAAAAAGACAGTAAGTTGTGCATCTAATCTGACAGCTTTTATTTACAGACATGATGACATATGGTGGCAGGAGTGTCCAGCTGTTTCCTGTCCAACTGTTATACATATTGGCCTGATAAACACATTTTAGATAATAATTTCAAATAAATACACACAAAGTTTGACTAATATGGCAGAATTGAATGCTAGCAGTATTCCACTGTATTTCATAGACAGGCAGAGCCATTTGAGTTCTGAATGAGTGAAATAGGCTCAACACACCTGTTTACTGTGGTACAAACCACTTTCTATACTCACGTACATTTTTCCATGTATTAAATAAATAAAACGCCACTTTTCTCATTCAAAATGGCCTAATTATGAACATATAAACATAGTACAGGCTAATTTACATATTTCATAATCATAATATACGTCGAAATAAGAAATCATCTTTAATACGATACAGCATATGATGTTTTACTCTGATGTCACTCGATATTAAAACGAGTGCATTCACTGAGTGGTTCTGTGCATGAAGGTGTGCTATAGTTAATGCCACATGCACCGTAATGTGTTTTATATTCAGAGTTAATTTTGAAATAACATAGTGAAATGTTTGTTAAGAGTTACATGTTCGCTGGAGGAAACAGTTGTGATGATGAGAGGAGCGCTGAGGAAAGAGTAGATGGGAAACCCGATTGCTCCTCCATGACATTGGGGCAGTGTTGGAGTAACGCATTACAAGTAACGCGAGTTACGTAATAATATTACTTTTCTAAATAACAAGTAAAGTAACGAATTACTTCAAAAAATAAATAATAATATTTGAGTTACTTTTTAGTTTAACAAGCTTTTAATAAAATTAATTGCTAAATTAAATTGAAAGTATTCACAATGAATCGTGCAGTTAATGAGAAAATGTGTTTATTATTTTGAAGTCATCGAAGAAAAGGAAAAGTGGATTATAGTCTCAATGGACAGTGATTAAGACAAATAGTACAAAATTAGCAAACACATTGCTTTAAGCTTTCAGTAATCTGTATATACGGCATGTAGGGGCCAGGAAGTTCTCAGATAACATCATCCTAAAATATTTATTTTGATGTTTAAATGTAGTTTTAGGTTATACCGTGTGTTGTTAATTGCAGAGCTCCTCAACTAAAAAAGAGATTAAAAAAACAAGTTCTTAAAGAGATCAAGCTTCAGCCAAATGATAAAAAGTAACGTAACGCATTTCTTACCTTAAAAAGTAACTAAGTAACGCAACTAGTTACTTTTTTTTTTTAGGAATACCTGAATATTGTAATGCATTACTTTAAATGCCATTTTCATATACAATTGAAAGGGGACTGAGGTGATAATATACTAGTGGACCGTTCATGTGCTAATCCAAAAACCTTTAGGGGGGCTGAGTGAAAAATACTCAGCCCCGCTAAAGGTGGTGCATGAACTGCACCATGTGTAGTGTCGTTTTCTCACCTGCTGACAAACTGGGGTGAAATCGTGGACGTCCATATTTGGAGAAACAGGGATATCCACTGACCATATAGGACAGCAGTCGTCTAACATCCGTGACATATGATTCAACAGCATAAAGAGTGGCTCTGTAGGGTTCCCTCTCCTGTTGACGGTATCTTGTCACTCCTGCAGGCGAGAGATTTTCATGTTAGTAATTTACAATATCTTTGCCCTCCTGACATCGCCATACATACACAGGAGGTTACAGATTCAGGGTTAGTTCACCCAAAAAAGTAATTGTTATTAATTACTCAGCCTCATGTCGACCTAAACCCCTGAGACCCACGCTCAGCTTCTGAACATAAATGAAGATGTTTTAGAAGAAACACGAGAGCTCTCTGAGCATATATGCCTTCAGTGGTTTAACTGAAAATCATGACTTTATTGAACAGTTTCTTGTCCTCAGTGTCAGTATATTGCGCACACTCAGAAGAGCTCTGTGTAGTGGCGTACACGGCTGATGTCCTCCTCTGATTGGAAGAAAGCACAGGCGCATCCAAGATGATACATCAGCAGTGCAACTGAGAGCAACATGCGTGAAGACCTCAGAGCACTCCTGAACATGCGCAATATACTGACACTGAGGGTGAGAACCTGTTCATTAAAGTCATTATTTTAGCTTTATGTGGAAATAAAACAATTCTCAGAGTCTGATAATGCTCTGATTGAACCACTAAAGGCATACGGTCTGTTTTGAGGATGCTTTAGGGTCCTTTTATAGACCCTTGCTGTCTATAGAGCTCTCAGATTTCATCTTAAATATCTTCATTTGTGTTCAGGGGTCTCAGATGTTCAGGACGACATGAGAGATCGTCATTACTAAAACTAACTTGATTTTTGTGTGAACTAACCCTTTAATAAGCAGGACTAAAAAGGCAACTCACCAAGATAGGGGGATCTCCAGTAGCCTTTTTGAACACAGTAGCTCTGGCCAAAATCAATCAGCTTGAGCTGCAGGGTCTTTGGATTGACCAGGATGTTTTCATTATGTACGGACCAATGATGTATGCCATGCTCAAGGCAGCGCTGTGTTGCAATAATGAGCTGCATGATCAGCTGCCGCGCAACACTTTCACCCAGGCGGCCATTGTTCTTCTTCAAGAGTTTAGCCAAGGTTATGTACGAGGACGCGTACTCCATGACCAGGTAGTTATTCCTTCCTTCCATGGCGTACTCGTAGAGCTCTATGATGTGCGGGCAGAGCGGAGGTCTCTTGAGGACCATCATATTACGTGCTTCCGGGATCACGTGCGTATTATATCCAGCCTAGAGAAAAATAAAGTCAGGAAAAGGTTAGATGTCAGTGTCTCATATATAAATGACATTATAATGTGTCCCTAGCTGTGTTTCCATCCAAAGATGCAGATTACATTTATGTGCAAAACTGGAATATAAAGATTTGCGAATAAAGCAGCGTTTCCATCAATGAGTCAAAGAGAACAAAATCATCACTGCCTTATAAACTGGCGGCAAATATCAGTCAGAGAAATGAGTTTCGCTTAAGAAGACCAAACGAAATGAACGCGGTGAATGTGGTGGCTTTTGGAGACGGGAGACAGATGACAGATGCTCAAGACAATTCTGGAGGAAATGATAATAGAAGAATGATAATACTGAAACACTGTGATGATGGACTGACGGAGGGCTGAGGCCTTTTACAGTCAGCACAACATTTCACATCTGACACAATGGAAAGCTGAAAACAAACAATAATGACGCAAAGACCCTCAAACACACATTTATATCATCATATGACCTCTTATAACTATATTTTTTGGTGTATTTTTTTTTATTTGAACAGATTTGTTTGTGTTGAGCATCACTTATTACACTGTTAGCAACTGTTAGCTTTAATTGTGAGGAAAACTGGATCATTTTGAGCTTTTTTCAGCTCATTTCATCAAAATCAAACACGATTATCTTTATAATGATATAAATTGTGGTTGTGTGTGTATGACATTACTAATTACAAATGTAGCAGGACATTAAATTACTGTTTGTTTCTTTGCATATTATCTTTGTAAACTATAAAATCATGGCTCTCCTCACAGTTTGTGTCTCATATCGTGAGCCGACTGACAAGTTGTTCGCTCACCTCTTTTCCCCGGCTCTGATGGCCAGAGCTCCACACCCATTAGGATGCATTTTTTGAAAAATATTCTGAGGTGGACTTGAACAGAAAGTGGGGGGTTTCATGGCCCTTTAATGTGCATGCTGGAATTTATTCAATAAAAATGCTTCTAACCTAGTTTATGCACATTATTTCGTGTGGAATAAAGAGTTGATTCTAGTCAATTATGCGCATAAGAACATGCATGTGCATCTTAGCATATTCATAAAGCTTTGTTTATGTGATAATCCTAAACGCGCATGAAACAGGTGGATGGAAACAGAGCTGTTTTCACATATTAACTCAAATTCAACACTACATGTGACCCTGGACCACAAAACCAGTCTTTTGTCACGCAGATATATTTTGAGGAAAACTCAAAATTATGACTTTAATTACGTAAAGATTGTTCCAATATATAATTTTTGCATTTCTTATTGTTGTGATACTATTATCATATGTAGTTTACATGGAAATGTGTGGAATTTTGTTTAAATTATTAACTTTAAAGCTGATTTTCCCAATATTCAGATTTTCTTCACGTTCCAGATTGTCAAACAGCCGCATCTCCATCAATATTGTTCTAACAAAGCAAACATTATTGAAAAGCTTCTTTATTGATCTTTCAGATGATACGCAAATCTCAGTTTCCGGACATTATGACTGGTTTTGTGCTCCACAGTTCATCTGCAGAAACAGAAAACCCCCAGTTTTAGACATTTCCAGAAACTCTGTAATATTCTCAGTACAAACAAGATTTCTGGAAATGACTAAACACGTGCAGTTTCAGCCATTTCAATAAAGTGTGTTGTTTGCATTTGTACCCTTCAATGTACAACATAAAAACAAGACTCAAAATGACAAACAACATGGAGGTCATCTGTTCTCTTCATATATTTTCAGTAGAGTATGCATACTTACCACGTGGCACAACACTCCGTAATACTTCTTATTCACAACCTTTATGGCAACCTGCAAAGAAAGCATAAAGTCAAAACTTATTTAAGCCAGAAAGATGTCTGATCTGACCTGCATAAAGCGGGACATTGTGTTTCTGACAACATGCATCACACACACACACACACACACACACACACACACACACACACACACACACACACACACACACACACACACACAAGTGAACGTTACCTTCTGGCCGTCAGATTTCCGTGTAGCCAGATAGACAATGCCACCGTATCCCTGTCCCAGCTTCTCTCCAAGCACATATTTGTCAAGTATAGACCCTGGAGAAAAGTAAATCACATTTATGACATCATTTCTGTGAGTGTTCTGCTCTAATCCTGAGATATTTCTGTAAAACTCTGAAAAATAATCCAAAACCCGACTGCAGATTAGACAGAAAACATTATCACAGAAGACAGACCTGAGCTGCTGTATTCTTTTGCATTTTTCCAACCGCTGCAGCCGCAATATTCGGTCTGTGTTGCTTTCGTTTGTTTGGCAGCCACTGTGTCCTCATTTCTGCTGTCCTGATCTAGACATCCAGCCTTTCTCTTCTGTCCTCTTGGAGCTGATGTGGATTACAGTCAATATTGTATTATTAATGAGCAGTTCTTTCATTAATTGGCATCATTTTAATCTGGGATTTAACTGTCAGCTCAAATGGCAGCAGTGTCAAGTCATAAAGGGTGTACTGACCTGAGCTGGACGTCTCTGTGTCGGCGTCTTCTCTTGTGATCGGCGTCATCCCTGAAACTTTGATGCGTTTCCGATGGGCAGATGGTTTGCCTCCATCAGAATCACTCTGAAAATCATCATCCGCTTTCCGCTTCTCTCCTCTTCCTCCTAATGTGGATCACAACACAAGCAAGAATAAACTCTCCAATGAAAACCATCATGTTTTTTATAGCCATATCTTCATTCCAGATTTCTGTTGACTATCTGTAATCTGAGGGTTCAAAATTCTAAATATTGAGAAAATCACATGTAAGAGGATAAAAGATCATTGAAGCAATAAAAAGTAAGCTAAATTAATAGACTGAATTAGCGGATCAGAGCGCACATTCAGAGTTTTCAGTCACGTGACAGAAATAACTCAAACTATATCCACAAAAATAACTCAAAACAAATGTACAGATAATGAAAATGAAAATAAAACCAACATCACAAAAGAGCTTTGATCAAATCATGAATCAGGATTTTCTTTAAAATATCGTGATATTATCATATATGTCCATATAGCGCCTCTACAGCCTCATAATGCACACTGACCTGAGCTGCTGTCTTCTGCTGCTGTTTTCACTCGTTTGGCAGCAACTGTGTCCAGACTTCTGCTGTCCTGATCTAGACATCCAGCCTTTCTCTTCTGTCCTCTTGGAACTTCTGTGGATTACAGTCAATAATGCATTATTATTGAGCAGTTCTTTCATTAATTGGCATTTATTGTATTTGGGGATCTGTTCAAATGGCAGCAGTGCTAATAGTTTCCAGATGTTTTGACAGCACAGAGCAGCATTATAACAGAAGCCTGAAAAGTATTTAGTCTGATAAAACAGCACACGTGATCACGAGCTGAAGAACCAGACGCGATGGACTGTGGCATAATAAAAGCTCTGAGCTTTGTGTCGTCGTGCACTGTGCCTTTAAGCTGACAAATATATGCTCATACAACTGAAGAAGAGTGACGGGAGACTGACCTGAGCGGCTGTTCTCATCGCTGGACGTCTCTGCAGCTTTGATGCGTTTCCGCAGAGCGTATGGTTTGACTCTGTCAGAAACACTCTGCAAATCATCATCTGCTTTCCGCTTCACTCCTCTTCCTCCTAATGTGGATTACAGTAAATAATTAACTATTAATAATCAGTTCTTTCATTAATTGACATTTATTTTACTCTGGGATTTAACATATGGCAGCAGTGCTAATCGTTTTCCAGCATTTTCCAGTCATAAAGAGTGGACTGACCTGAGCTGGACGTCTCTGTGTCGGCGTGTTCTCTTGTGTTCTCCAGCTCTGAAACTTTGATGCGTTTCCGCAGAGCAGATGGTTTGACTCCATCAGAAACACTCTGAAAAGCATCATCTGCTTTCCGCTTCACTCCTCTTCCTCCTAATGTGGATGACAACACAACAAACAATAAACTCCTAAATTAATCAATCATGTTTATGTATTGTCATTAATTCATTCCAGATTTCTGTTGCGATCTCAAATAATATAAAGATTGAGAAAATCACCTTTAAACTTGACAAATAAAGTTTAAATCAACAGTTGAGTTCTGACATGTTTACAGTAGAAAGTGCTTAACTTCATGAAACATGATCATAATATAATATTTGAATGATTTTGGGCATAATAGATAAATCAATCATTTTGATCCACACAATGTATTTTTTGCATATTGGCCAACATATCTGCATGCTCACTGGATTTAGCAGCTAACTGAGTAAATACTTTGCACCCTGCTTCATGTTTCAGAAGTTTAAGTGGTGATAAATGTTTGGTGATGAAGCTGTAGAAGTGTTAATGTATGGCAGGAGACACACCTGAGCTGGTTTTCTTCTCATAGCTGGTCGTCTCTGTGTCACTTATGTTCTCCATCTTTGCAGCTTTGATGCGTTTCCGCAGAGCGTATGGTTTGACTCTGTCAGAAACACTCTGCAAATCATCATCCGCTTTCCGCTTCACTCCTCTTCCTCCTAATGTGGATTACAGTAAATAATTAAGTATTAATAATCAGTTCTTTCATTAATTGGCGTTTGTTTTACTCTGGGATTTAACATATGGCAACAGTGCTAATAGTTTTCCAGCATTTTCCAGTCATAAAGAGTGGACTGACCTGAGCTGGACGTCTCTGTGTCGGCGTCTTCTCTTGTGTTCTCCAGCTCTGAAACTTTGATGCGTTTCCGCAGAGCAGATGGTTTGACTCCATCAGAAACACTCTGAAAAGCATCATCTGCTTTCCGCTTCTCTCCTCTTCCTCCTAATGTGGATGACAACACAACAAACAATAAACTCCTAAATTAATCAATTATGTTTATTTATTGTCATTAATTCTTGCCAGATTTCTGTTGCGATCTCAAATAATATAAAGATTGAGAAAAAACCTTTAAAGTTGACAAATTAAGTTTAAATTAACAGTTGAGTTCTGACATGTTTACAGTAGAAAGTGCTTAACTTCATGAAACATGGTCATAATATAATATTTGAATGATTTTGGGCATAATAGATAAATCAATAATGTAATGTATAATATAATAATATCATGTATTTTTTCCTATTGGCAAAATTAAAAAAAATCTGAATTTTAAGTGGTAATAAATTTAAGCTGATGAAACTGTAGAAGTGTTGATCTGTGGCAGGAGACACACCTGAGCTTGTTTTATCCTGAAAGCTGGTCATCTCTGTGTCATTCGTGTTCTCCATTTCTGAAACTTTGATGCGTTTCCGCTGAGTAGATGGTTTGCTTCCGTCAGAAGCCCTGTGAAAAGTATCGTCCACTTTCCGCTTCATTCCTCTTTCTCCTAATGTGGATTACAACACAACAAACAATAAACTCTTAATCTAAATCATGATTTTTATTGTCATTAATTCATACCAGATGTCAATAAAAAATTTGAGAGTTTAAAATCCAAACATTGGGAAAATCACCTTTTATATTGTCAAAATTTTTTAGCAACACATATTATAAATATTAAACATTATCAAGTTTTTTAAAATAAATTTACAGTAGCAAGTCTGTATATAATCTAAATGAAACATGAACATAATATTCTCATGTTTTTGTGTCATATTTCATGCCTGTAGCCGGGGTGAGGGGGGGGGGGGGGGTCCTATACATGAGCTCAATTGTCCTATTTTGACTTCTACATCATCATAAATTGTGAAAATAGCCCATTGAAAAATGCTTGAAGACCAAGCCGAATCATCTGTTGACGTCACATCAGTGTGACTTCAGCTAAGCAGTGTGCAAACTATTATTTTTCATGAGTTCAACATCCAGCTGTGCAGGAAAACATGTACAGAGTAACTTTTATTCTGAAGCTTGGACCTTATTTTTTAAACAAAAAATGGCCAATAAAAAGGTGTGAAGCATCAAAAGTGGCCCATATTTAAATTCATCTGAATACTAATTTGGTTATTATCTATGAATCTTCAATTAAATGTACAGGAAAGGCTAGAAAAGTCATGAAGCTTTTTTATTGCTGTTGTGTTTTCATTTTTATTATTGAAATGGCCGAATTCTGACTGAGGAAAGTTGAATGTGCTGGCCAGTTTGTTATTTTCCTTATAAATGACAATAAGCCACAGTTTTTAATTTAAAACTTTAACAGATTCATATTATTAATGGCATATGATGTAATAACTATGTATTTTAGACATAAGTATTTATTCATATTGCTTTATTCTAAATCTTTAGGAAATATTTTGGTAGATTGAAAAGTGTGGTTATGATGACCATCTGACAAGCTAATCACGCTTTAAATGTCACTAAAATGCAATATTTATATAAAATGCAGTATTTAAGCCTCATGATTAAATAGAAAATGAGGCAAAAAAACTGCAAAAAGGTCCACATTTTGAGAAACAAAGAACCAGCTCTTTCACCAGGCTGGCTACCGGCCTGTATTTGTCATGTGGTTTGATTGTTGCCAACATAAGACCTGGGTCTTAAACAAAGCTTGTGCATCATAGAGAATAATATTTAGACAATTTTTAGAGTTGATTTGATTCTTTTATCTTAAATGATGTCAGAGTTTAATTCATTTCATTGTTTAAATTGTATTCAACCTATAGAAAATATGGATTCATTACTGTATATAAAATCAACAAAGGCATAACTGTAAAAAAAAAAACGGCTTGTGCGTCATAAAGAATAATATTTAGACAATTTTCAGAGTTAATTTGATTCTTTTATATCAAATGATGTCAGAGTTTAATTCATTTACGTGCTAATGGTATCTGATATAGTGAAAATATGGATTCATTACTGTATATAAAATCAACAAAGGCATAACTGTAAAAAACTAATCTTGTGAATCATAAAGAATAAAATTTAGACTATTTTAGATTTAATTTAAACATTTTGTCTCACATTATATTTAGACAATTTTCAGAGTAGATTTGATTCTTTTATTTCAAATCATGTCAGAGTTAAATACATTTAAGTGTATACAGGGTATTCAACTAAAAGAAAATATGGATTCATTACTAACTTTAACGCGGTTACTTGCCCTTAAGTACGACTTAGTAGGTTATCTGCATTTTACTCTGGTGTTTTTGTATTAAATAAACTGATAATATATAAAACATGCAAATACGAAACACATGTGTCTGGACTTACCCGTCAAGGTCTTACAACTTTCCTTTTCTGCTAGAAACTCGAAAGGTCTTGTAGACATCGTCTGAAATCGCTCAACTGTTTTGCTCGATGTGTTTATCGACCGAGAGCAACTTTTACAATCAACCTTCATTTCTTGTTCCTGCAGATTACTGAAGCCGAGTTAACGCGCGTCAGCAGACCCTGTACAACCGTTAGAACGCGTTCTGCTGTTGCCAAGCAACACATCGTCTTCCGCGAGTGTATGTTGTTTATGTGACCTTTATCCTATAAAGTAGCGCGTATCATATTTAATACACAAGTTTATAAGACTGTATAATATCAACCTGATAATTTTTGTGCCTAAAAATCTCATGTATATAGTTTGATACTTGTATTTTGCCCTCTTGTGGATTTTCATGACACTGCAGGCAGTGCAAGGGCTTTTTTGACCTTTTCAAAATGGCCGCCCTCATTGCATTGCTCGCAGGCTTTTTCAAGTTGTCGCGGTAAAAGTTTTGTTGATTAAAACGGAGCATAATTACTTAATACTTATTTTTTTATGTTACGAATAAATTGTGTTGAAAATAAATCAAATTTGACACAGCAGGTATACATGGTGAATTATTCATTCCCGAACAGTCAGATTTGTGTAATGTAATCTATATCATACCCATAGATATAATGCAAACACACAGTATTTGAGTAAAAATTTATCTCATTGGTGACTAAATGGCATCTTTAAATTACAATGTGGATATTTTTACAATAATTCCTAACCGGTAAACTTTATTGATTAATTTATTTGTATTTTAGGTGTCAAAAAGAATAGAGGAAGATATTAGAAAAGTAAAGTGTCTTGAAAATATCATCTACAAAATAATAATGGCAATTAAAGTGCCATAGAGCGGTTAGGGGAAGATGAGCAGGATGGGCCTATTTTTATATGTCAGGTCTCACAGTGCTTTCTGTACTAGGGGCTCTTATTTTGTAGTTACAAATAAACCGGAGCCGAAAATCATGTTACTTTGGTGCTTTCCTTTAATATTTGTATCGTTATTTTTTATATTTCATTGTCAGACAGTGTGGGGCTGTGATATATATATATATATATATATATATATATATATATATATATATATATATATATATATATATATATATATATATATATATATATATATATATATATATATATATATATATATATATATATATATATATATATATATATATATATATATATATATATATATATATATATATATATATATATATATATATATATATATATATATATATATATATATATATATATATATATATATATATATCTATATATCTCTCTCTCTCTCTCTCTATCTCTCTCTCTCTCTCTCTCTCTCTCTCTCTCTATATATATATATATATATATATATATATATA